ACTTTTTTATTTTCATTTAACTATAAAGGAAATCCTTCCTATTCTACCATTTGTATATTCTGTATGTCTTTCATAAAATACATTACACCTGAAAACATCTGAAAGGATGTAAAACAGACTTTCCCCATCAGTTAACATTTAACTTCAATACATATAACACATTAGCTCACAGATTTTTCTGTCATGTGATCTTAGTATAATTGTATACTTCTTAGTATACTTACTTAGTATAATTGTATACTTAGTATAATTGAACACATAGTCAATTGAACACATGATAATGTCAATTTGGTTTTTAATATGGTCTAGTTTTCTAAGTCATATTTTATTGTGGTAAAAACAGGACCTGATTTTTAAGTTCATAGTACAGTATTGCTAACCTTAGGCACATGTTGTACAGTAGATCTCTAGAATGTATTCAGGTAGAAGTTTCAGTTATACATTCTCTTTCATTAGCTCACCTTCCCTTCTTGACATAGATCCAAAGGAAAATTAAAAGCATCCTTCCCAATGTCCCACCCTAAACCATTGTGGATCAGTGATTTATCTATGGATGTGCTGTGTGTGTGTGTGTGTGTTTGGCAGGGGGAACAACAACAACAGGCATACAAACAGAAGACACAAAAGAAGTTGTGGAGTCAAACAAACCATTTCAGAAACACAGTCACTACCTCTTTGTTGTGTGAACATCTTGGGCCAAGCTACTTCCTAATTCTCAGCTTAGAACATAGTTATCTGTATTTTCAGGCATGGTAAGATTTTAATAAGGTAATGTGTGTAAATAGTGGTCACATAATGAGCACTATTACTGTGGTCATCATCACCACCATTGGTTCTGGCAGGCATCTGGAGATCAGTGAGCTGTCATAGGGAGTAGAGCACCTATAATTGAAAAATGCTTATAATCGTTTTCTAATTACAGAATGTTGACAGTGAACCCTCACAACTGCTCTGCAAGGTTAGGCTGTATTACTACTCCTGGTGATAATACCCCAAAGGCACATGGTCAGTGCTTAACAGGATTCAATGATTTGCTTCCTGGATTTTCAAATAGTAGCATGAGCCAGCGAGCTCAATTACAATCCAGATGTCTAGAGAGGAAGTAGGTATTCAATCCAGTGCAGGAATGGGTTCTGGCTGGTGATGAAAATTCTTCTCCAGGTGTTCCCAATGTCAAATGTGTTAACCACGAGCTCTCACACAAAGAATTCTCATGCCTTATTTGAGGGATGTTTGGGAAAATCATTATGTCTCCTACCTCATCCTCTATATGGTTCTGTTATAAGCATCTGGTGCTGCCTTGGCAAAATGTTAGCATTAATCCTGCTATTTTCTAGACATCTGGATTGAATATGAACTGTAGAGGGACTGAGGTTTTCTTTTTTGCCTATTAGAAGTCGGGTATTGTGATTTGTGTGTTTGCCTGTCACTGAATGGCAGCTTGGGCGTGGTTTGGGGTGCTTTTATCTTGTTCCTCACTTAATTCCTGGAAGGCCTTTCTGTCTTTGTGTCATGTCCCAGGTTACCCTTATAGGAAAGGCCATAGTACTTTCAGCCAAGACTGGGAGTCAGCCATGGGAAAGTAGGAATTGGCATGCTTCATGGTCTCAGTGAACCAAACTCCAGCCTTGACCAATTTTCAGCTGGAAATCTATCAGATGGCCTTACTTTCCTTAAAAATAAATCAAGCACTCTGGACTCTTCCAGGCTTTTTTACTGGACCTAAAAAACAGAGGCCCACATACAATTCCAGTGTGAGCTGTCCTCCCACCTGCCCCATCTTCTTAAATGTATGTGAACTATAGATGATAGACCTACAAATACCAGGAAACTTACCTGAAGATTTCAGGCATCAGCTTAACAAAGGTTATCCAGGCTTGAGCAAATTCCAGTGCAGCATAAGCCCATCTGTTTTTGCCAGCCCAGAGTATTATATGGGAGGGTTTAGAATGAATTAACACATAAAAGCATTCTTAATTGCTAGTGGCATTTAAAATGTCGATGTAGGCCCTAGCTAGTTTGGCTCAGTGGATTGGCCTGGGGACTGAAGGGTCTTGGGTTTGATTCTGGTCAAGGGCACATGCCTGGGTTGTGGGCTCAATTCCAGTAAGGGGTGTGCGGGAAGCAGCCATCAATGATTCTCTCTCATCATTGATGTTTCTATGTCTCTCTCCCTCTCCCTTCCTCTCTGAAATCAATAAAAATATATTTAAAAAATAAAATAAAATGTCCATCTAGGATGGAATATGGAATTCATAGGAGATTTTCTAAAAAAAAAAATCCCAAACTTTTATGAGTATAAAAGAATACATTTCAGCATAAAATACTCTAATTTTGATTCTGTTGAAGAGGATTGTTCTTTAAGGACAAGTTTCACAACCATCAGGATCCATAAAAATGCAGAAATGCTGCTTTCCCTCAGGAGTACCTGAAAAAAATTGACCCTTTGCCCCAACTCCTCCTTTCATCCCTGGTGACACTGTCTGGCAGCTGCCTTCTTTAGACTCTGTCACTCTGTGCTGGGAGGCAAGGCTGGGTGAGTGAGCAGATTTCCAGACACTGGCTGCCCTGTCCTTCTCTGTTTATTCAGTCTTTGATTATCAATCGGTCTGTGCCCTAGAGGCTAGAGAGGCTGTCTCCTAATTTGTTTAGTCATCCCATTCTGGTGCCCTCAGCTGCTTCTAGCATCCAGTGTATCAGTGTCAAGATCACCCCTGATTATCAAGAAGTGTAAAGTACCCCATAAGTCAAATGCTTGAAGTGTTTGAAGAATGTGGTGTCACCATCAGAGAAGGTATTATAAATATCAGAATTTTAAAAAGTGGGTGGATTTAAGAGAGGTGCCTTGAAACTAAGTAAATTTTTTTGGTAACTGATAACTCTATCAAGGTTCTTTTGGTTTTTATTAAATTGTTTTAATGATACATTTTTTTATTCCAAACTCAGGGGTCATAAAAAGATATACACAGATAAGTCTTACACCGATTTCTGGCCCCTTTACTCTGTACGCCTGCCCCCATAGATATTTTTTTGATTTCTTATTTGTTCATTTAGAATGTCTTTGTGCACATACAAATAAATATAAATACCTATATTCCCCTTCTTTTGATACAAAATATAGTATATTATATATGCTGTTCTGCTTTTTTTCAGTTAAATATATTTCCTGGAGATCTTTCCTTTTGAATTTACAGAGATCTTTCACATTCTTTATTAAGCCATTGTGAGATTTATTCTACTATAGTTTATTTTAGTCCCCTTGTTGATAAACACTTGGATTTTTTCAGTATTTTTTATAAACAATTTCGCAGTTAATAGCCTCATACATTTGTCATTCTATGTATATGTGTATATCTTTACAGTAGATTTGTAGAAGTAGAATTGTTGGACCAAATGGAAAATGTATTTCATTTTGGTAGATAAGAACAGATTTCTCTCTATACAAGTATATCTTTTCGCAGTCCCATCAGCAATGTATAACTGTCTGTTTCTCCAAAACTGTCCATGGAGTATATAATCAAACTTATGAATGATTTTAGCCAATGTGGTATATGGAAAATGGTGTTGTAGCATAGTGTTGGGTGGCATTTCTCTGTTTTTGAATATGACTGAACACCTTTTCATATAATCAAGCAACATTTATATTTTGTTTTTAGTGTCCTTCACCCATTTTTCTATTAGATTGGTACTCTTTATAAATTAGAATAAAAATTCAGACACTCAGGCCCCCTCCTCACTCCAAGATACTGACTCAGTTGGGAAATGGGGTCCAGGAGGAATTTCTTTTTTAAAATGTTGCTCAAGTGATTCTGATTTTGCAGCTAGGTTTGGTCTAGAGCAGAAGATTGGGTGTAGAAGGGAAGAGAGGGCTGGAAATGTAGGTTGGTGCCACATTCAGAGGATTTCAAATATCAGGGCAAAGAATTCCAACTTTATTTGGTAAACTACGTGAAATCACTAAAGATGTTGGAATATATTTTTCAAATAAATTATAAGTAACTTTTAAGGTTTGGTAGAGTTAGTGTGCAGGATAGAAATGTACCTGGAAGGACCCATTCATCATATATAGGACAGGTTACTCTATCCAGGGACCAAGTGAGAGAAGCAGCTTTGTGATCAGGAATGGCCAGGCTAGTCCCATCCATCAGTGTAACCCAGTCACTCCTCCTACAATGACTGATGGTAAGCAGGCAAACGACCACTCACGGA